CGGTGCATGAGTGGACCGCACGAGCAGAGGATGTGCATAGCAGTTTCCTCTGTCTCATGGCATAGTCTGCACATTGCGGTCTGAATGAGGCCGAGGGTAAACATATGTTTATTGAGTTTGCAGTGATCAGTAAGTATTCTGGTTACTGCGCTGGTTTTATACTTGTTGAGTTGAAGCAACTCTTTTGTAAACTTTTTGCGATATCCCTTAATTAGCGCTTTAGAGTGTATTTGTCCAGAAGTGGATTGCCACTCTTGAAGTGCTTGGCGATTGCAGAGAATTTTGAGAATTGAATAGGCATGTTGTTTTGCAATGCCACAGAATGGTTCTGGGCCACAATCTGGGGTTTCAGCGCCCCTTCTTGCCAATGCATCAGCCTTTTCATTCCCATCTATGCCTGAGTGACCCGGGACCCATCTGAGGGTGACTCTGTTGGATGTGCCCAGGACATTCAGATTATCCATACAGTCTTTGACCAACTTAGAGTTGGTCTCAAGAGAATCTATAGCCAGAAGTGCTGCTTGGCTATCTGAGTTGATGTAGATATTTTGGTTTCTAAGCTTTCTCTCCAGGATGACTTCAGCACATTTGTTGATGGCGAAGACCTCGGCTTGGAAGATGGTGGCCTCCTTGCCCAGATTGACACTCATGTCAAATCTAGGCTTAAGGCCATAGATACCACACCCTACATCAGATACTTTCTTGGATTCATCTGTAAACCAAACATGACTGCCCTTTTTGTGAGACTCTTGGTTTTTTAGCCACATGTCCCTTACCATACACTATCTCACCTTTCAAACAAAAAAAAATCAAAATCAGTTCATCCGTTCGGGTTCGGGAGCTACAATGCCACAGACAGACAGACACAGACACGTCAAACTTATAACACTCCGTCGTTTTTGCGTCGGGGGTTAAAAATAAGTTACCACTTATGGAAATCGAATACATGTTCAGCTGTATAGTAAGTTACGTCAGTCAAATACAAGCTCCACAATAACACCATGGTAATCGCTTAAAATTAAATAATAAACGTCGATACTACAAAATGTTTTAATAAAGGTATGCTCATAAAGGTAAACTCCATATAGGTATGTCCATAGTAATAAGTACATATTATTATTTAAGTATACTGAAAGCACACTAATAGCTTTTAGTTAGCTTAAACAATCAACAAACGAGCTTTATAACTTGATTTTAAACGCACTTAATTAAAAGCAACTAAACTTCCATAATATTTTAAAACATGTTTTAAAATTTACATAAAAATAGACGTGGAAAATGCAATTACTTACTCTAGCATATTGTGCAAAATAAAATTCTAATGAACCTGTTAAAAAAAACGTTTCCACTTTCAAAGGAGAGGATACTAATTTTCTTTCACGTCTTAAAGAAGCTTCCTTTCAAGAAGTGGAAAAAAGTTACAATCGAAAAGGAAATTTGCGTTTTAAATCCTCTAATGAAGCTGAGAAGTTTGTAATGGAGGGGCGAAAGGCTGCGAACAAATTGAGGAAAAAACTTGAAAGGAATGTCCGCGCGGTAAAGTCAATAAAACGTTACGACTGCAGTTATTTTAAAATTATTCTCATTTTAGTAATTTAATACTATTTATTTACTATTGACGACACGTTTGGCTCAGTTAGTAGTGACCCTACTTACTGTACCAGCGCCGCGGGTTCGAGTCCCGCTGGGGGCATTCATTTGTGTGATGAGCATGAATGTTTGTACTCCAGTCATGGGTGTTTATATTTATAATATGTATGTATTTAAAGTTATATATATGTAGTGTATCAACTATCTGGTGTCCGCAAGCCTCGTAGCTTACTATGGAACTAGATGGTGTTGTGTATGAATGTCCCAACATATTTATTTATTTATTTCAAAAATTATTTATGAGTGAATTTTGTTAATGAGTTTTAACTATTTTTCATGAGATTTCTTAAAAAATGAGAGATAGATTTAATTTCCATAAGATGTCGTACCTCGTCGGTACTCGGTAAATATATTTTGTACTAGTACAGATAGTGCGCCGTTAATTCTTTTTCTAAAATAAAAATAGCCTTAGTTACTCCTTATAATATCAGCTATCAGCCAGTAAGAATCTCGTCAAAATCAGTCCAACCGTTTCGGAGATTAGCCGGAATAAGAAAACAGACAGACATAAATTTTAAAAATTGTGTTTTACTTATAAGTACTAATAATTTCATATTCATTCAGTAAAAAGCTGTTATTTTGTCATTACAAACAGACACTTCAATTTAATTTATTAACTTACTTCCAAAAAGGACGCCTGAACCGATTTGTAATTTCTTTTTTGTTTCAAAGGGTATACTTCCCAGGTGGTCCCATATAAATTTTATCGAAATCGGTCGAGCGCTTCTTTAAAAAATCAACAATAATTTTTTTTTAATAAATTGTTTAATCGTTTCTGTACTTAATTAACAAACTTTCTTCTTATAAATTACCTGTTCATTACGTCTACACTAAAAATGGAAAAATAAAAACTTAAAAAAGAAGAATAGTACTAAGAATAGATACCTAATCAGATATTTTCGAAGTCGGCGCCAGCCGACAATATGAATATCTAATAGGTAAATATGTATTTTACGTATCGAAATATATTAGATTTGCTTTGCATCGCTGGCACCGACTTCGAAAATATCTGATTGGGTAGGTATCTATTCTAAATAAAAACCCCCGTTTAGTTATTTTTTAAATTTTAGTGCCTGGAAGTGGTTTTTTTTTTTAAGTTTTTATCTGTATAGATATATATTTATGGCCTGTTATTACTGGTGTTTTCTTATTAAAAAAACAAATTTACTGAATACTTGGATAAGTCTGTTTTAAATTCAATCGTAAATGTTTTCTGTTTTAGTAGCTACACTACACACTTTTCCTTTAGAAAATTTAGCTAATTGATATTGATCTTATGTGGTTCGTGTAATTATTACTGGCACTGTCCAATCGCAGGCGGTAGCTGCGATACCAAATATCACGTAAAATTTTCTTAAACACGTGCTTAGAATGAAGCTGTCTTTTAAGATGAAGCGAAATTAGAAGAATGAAGCTTACATAAAAGATAGGATAAACATTTAAAACGTTTTTAAACATACACACATACAGTATGTTTTTATATTTATATATTTATTTCATTTATTTATTTCAACGTAAACATTACGTAAAAAATACGTTGTAACTTATAGGTAAAGTAATAAATTTAACGAAAACTTTTTTTTTCGATTTTTGTTTTTTTCTTCTTTCACGCACAAAAAGAATCGGATATTTCCCAAATTCAGTTAATTAAACGAAGTGTAACTTAGGCAAGTGTTTCTCAAATCGGATCATCAAATTCCCATTTGATATTACTACAAAAGTTAGTACCAACCAAGTTAGTTAGCACCTAAGCACGACAAGAAACACTATATGTCACTATATATTAACATAAACGACAACTATCGAAAACTCATAAACCTAAGTACATGCAAAAAGCGAGAACGTTGAACGAAGATCGTAGCACTTAGCACTTTGACCTATAGATAAGTGTGCAAGATGCTATAAAGGTAAAAAATAAAACTTTCAAATATTTTGTAACAAAATTTATTTATATAAATATTATGTCTAAAACAACGACACATTAGCCAATATATTGAATATAATATTCAAATACATAGTATATAATACATATAATGTTGAACAATGGTAATACCATGTGTGGTTTTTACCATGGTTTCATAGGAAAGTAAAAAAGAAGTTATTTCCTCTACTATCGTTGGGGTCGTATTAAAACCGCCATATATTTTAAGGAATATATGGCCATGAGTTCAATTCAATTCCGATATGTTCCACCGGTATATTCAAAGGACATCGAAGGACAATCTAGTGGAACTAATAATAAATATTGTTATTAAAAAAATTAAAAAAAAATGTATTTCCTTCCGATGTTATAGATATTTGCCTAATAATAATATTTCGAGCTATATTGTGTTTATTAATACTTACATAAACGTAATCGCCATAAAAGTATTAAATAACAAAAAAAAAATGAAATATTACGTTTTTTTAATAGGCACTTGTGTGTTAATTTCATACAACAGAATTCATTGTAAGAAATAACTTAAGAAATGAAATTAAAAGATATGTTTTTATTTTTATTTCAATTTTTAACATATCTATTTTAATATAACTGTAATACGATCACTAGTGAGTAATATTTTTTTAGCTATCTATTTCTAATCTAGTATGTAATAAGAGTGACAGAATAAGGCAGTTCTGTTCAAATTTGATCAGATAATAATTAAATTTATAAAAGGTTTTACTTAAAAACTCATAACGAAACTAATGATGTGTATTTTACATAAAAAAGCAACAGACTGACAGATCACTTACAGGCAATAATAAATTATTTAAAAAATCCTATTTTTTGTAATATAAACATAAATTTTACAATAGCTCGATTTTTTTAAAAAAAAGACCACATTTTAGGCTGCTTTAAGTAATTTAACATTCTAACTAAAGAAGGTGTAGTGCGTACACTATATTAATAACATAATATATGCATATGTTTTTTTACTAATTCTCCTTTTTCATTTTAAATAAAACTATCTTTTCGCGGACTTATTTTGATTGTTGGTACCCGACGTTTCGAATGCTTTACAGCAATCATGTTCACGGGAGAGACTAAGGTGTTAGATGTCTCAAAGGTTGAATTATATAGTTGTTACAGACAGCCTACCCACAAATAACAAAATGAATTCAAAAAATTAAAAAATGTCACCAAAGTACCTTTTTTATAATTTTAACCAAAAACCAACCAAAAATCAAAACAAATCCGCGAAGAAATCCGAAAATATAGTTATATTTAAAATGTCAAATATTTGCGTAAATCTAAGAAAGTATTCTCCTTTTTCATTTAGCCTAAGCTCCACATGCAAAGAATAATTAAAAAAAACAGATCTGTCAGAACGGTTCCTAAGGTGATTTGATAATAACAATCATTGTGTTTATTGCAGTACAGCGGCATTGGCGATGATAGACGGCGAGTTGATGGTCTCTCCGAGGCTCTCCAAAAGCTCCTTACGGTAGTCGTCGAAGTCACCGTCCACCTAAAATAATCATATTATTAGCCATGAAATACTTTTGTATGCAAATGAAATGTAAAATGCTTTAATGGCACACATTAAATATAAATGATATCTTACAATATTCATATTTGCTATTATTTTAATTATAATAATTAATCTATAATGATCAAATATAAGTTATACACAAAAGTTTGTCTATACTTGTCATAAATTAAATAAATTTTCTGTGATCAAAATTTTACATATCGCAAAATGATAATATTAAAAGAACAAAATCTAAACTAACATACAAATGACTTATGGTATGAGTTGATTAATTGTACTACGAAGAGTATGTCTTCTATCGATTAAAGGCATCAATCAAAAAAAGTACTAGATACACAATCCAATGCAAAACTTCTATTAAAACTGTCACCAATTGTGTTTAAGTAATTCTTCAAGTTGAAATAAATGTACAATAAAGTAAGTTGAACCTTAAATGCAATGCTTTAAGTTGTTTTCACAAAAACAAAAATTAAAAACGCGCTCAAATGAGCGCTCATTCGGTGAGGACATTTTTGTCGCTGATTGTGTATCTAGTACTTTTTTGATCGATGATTAAAGGGTTATTTATATTTTGTTTTTAGTTCTAGTTGTAAGTATATATACCAAGTATATGCAACAAATATTGGTTCAACTGAATACGAATATTCAAAGTTTACTGAATAGAATATTCGGCCGAATTATTCGGTTAATTTTTGCGGAGTAAACGAGTTGATAAAAGTTCAGTTACGTTTATTTTCAATTTTTTTATTATTTAATTGTCAATAAACGATTGCAACACAATGTAATGCCCTTAGTTCACCATTTACAACGCTCAGAATAAAACTTTTTCGAACTTTATTTATTAATTAAAAATAATACGATTTTAATATTACATATTTAATTATTCGCTAAATAATGTTAAACAAAACGAATAATCAGTCGAATACAAATATAAAAAAACACCAAATATACCGAATACGAATAATCGACCTAACATTTGGCGCACCTCTTTAAATACCTAATATAATATCACACAACTAACTATCTTTCAAAATGTACCATTTCATTATGTAACAAAGTGTTATAATAATAATATAATAAATATAATACCTCATTAATAGTCTGGTCCTCGATGACATACAGCGCGCAGTCCGTCTCCCGTATGAGGCGCTCGTCGTGCGACACGATCACCACGCCGCCCTTGTACTGGTTAATGGCTTCCGCTAAGGCGTCTATACTCTCTATGTCCAGATTGTTCGTCGGTTCGTCCTGAATGGTGTGGTTTAAAATTATCTTTACTTTATTTTATTTCCACTGGGTATATTTTTTTTATTTATACAAATACAAATATATAAAATTGAAGTGTCTGTTTGTAATATCAAAATAACAAGTTTTAGCTAAATGCATAAGAGTATATGGTACTTATAAGGAAAAAAATATTTTTTTAAATTAAGAGAGAATACAACACACTAGAGTCTAGACAAATTTATACAGATAAATAAAATTGAAGTGTCTGTTTGTAATGTCTAAATAACAGCTTTTTATTAAATATATACGGTATTTATAAGAAAAAAACAATTTTTAAAATTTTTGTCTATCTGTCTGTCTGTCTGGTTGTTTCGTCTAATCTCCGAAACGGCTGAGCCAATTTTGACGGGACTTTCAATGGCATCTGGTTGATGTTACAAGAATAACTTAGGCTACTTTTATTTCAGTAAAAGACTCTCTCCCGTGAGTAAATCCGCGTAAAAACCCGAAAAGATAGTTTTATTTAAATTGTCAAATATTCGCGTAAATCTAAGAAAGTATTATATTCAGTAAAAGAATTAGGATTCCACTCAGAAAAATTAAAAAAAACTATGAAAGAACCCGAGCGAAGCGAGGGTGAATCGCTAGTATAATATATAGAGCTTTTTACATATTCTGTGTCAAGAGAATCGGTTTACTTACCAATATAACAACATCAGGTGCCATCAATGTCAATTCAGCCAACGCAACCCTGGCCTTCTGCCCTCCACTGAGGTCCTTCATCTTGATGGTATGCGCGTGTCCCGCCAGACCGAAAGTACCGAGCGCCTTGCGAGCCTTCTCGTACTGCAGGCCGAAGAGACGCTGCAGGTACTCCACCGGGGACTCCTCCGCGGTCAGGTGCTCGCCGGAGTGCTGGTCGAAGCGACCGATCCTCTGGTGATAAGAGGGTTAAGTTTGTATTATTTTATTGTGGCGATAAGGTGCCGGTCGAAGCAGATATAAATTAAATTTACGGATTATAAAATATATACAGCAATAAGAAGTTAGATATGATATATGTTAGGTATCAGTTAATAATTGAAATTGTCTTAAAAGTTAAAACCACCTTTTATGGGTTTTTGGAGCTTTTTTTTAAATCACAAGAGAACAAAACTTATTTACATAGCAAAATATTTAAGATTATAAATATAATTTTAAATGCAAAAATGGCTTACTAGTCTATGGTTTCTAATCAGCTCTCCGCGAATGGGACTCAACTCGCCAACCAAAAGTTTGAGGAAGGTAGACTTGCCAACACCATTAGGTCCCACGATAGCTATACGAGAATTGAGATCTATACCAAAGTCCACTTGCTTGAATAGAGGCTTCTGTCCGGGGAAGTTGAATTCCACATCTAAAGGAAAGTATTAAAAAATAGTATTATATGGTTGTTTTATTATTCCATGTAACCGGACCATAAAGTACCTGATGTCACTTTAGCCCACAAACTTTTTCTAAGAAATCGATGCACACATTCGTATTAACAATTCATAGTTTAGTAGGGAATTGTTTCCAAAGGCCAAAGTTAGATACAGACAAGAATTAGGCCGATCCGATTGATCGATCAGGTAAGCGATTCTACAGCGATACCTCGATAACGACGGTTCCCGGTCGAATTCATATCTGTACTAATATTATATAGAGGAAAGATTTGTTTCTTTGTACTGAATAGGCTCCGAAACTATGGAATCGATTTAGATGAAATTTGGCGAGAAGATAGTTTGAGACCCTGGGAAGGACATAGGATAGTTTTTATCCAGGAAATCATTCCTTAAGGGGGTGAAAATGGAGCTGAAAGTTTGTATGGGGAAGCACCGAAGCGAGGTTGAGTCGCTAGTCGCTAATAAAGAAAACCACAGATAGGTTAGGTAGCGATGGGTTAGACTGGAGTAGGAATAACACTGGCTTTTCTAGGCAGTGAGTACCACATAAATACTTATATGAATGCACGTGGATTGAAAATGCATTTCTCAAAATTTCCCTATGTCAAAAGTATAATAGTGCACGTAAGTGATCCTGCACCACCCTACGGCAAAAGTTTTAATAAGAGCTTCACAGTCCCCTGCCAGTTGACAACCAGCAGTCACACCAACAGACAACCAACTGTCGTTGTAGTCGGGACCCTATGACATTCACTGAAGGGTTCCCCAACGGAAAAAATTTAAAAAAGAAAGAAAAGCGGTACAGACTGTGCAGGCCGAGTATGGGCGGCTGCAGCGGCGGCGGGTCGGGGAAGGAGAACTTGACGAGGTACTCCTTGGGGCGCTGCAGCAGCGCGGCCGGCGCGGGCCCGTCCTCGTCCTCGCGCTGCGCCTTGCTGCGGTTCTTCTCTTGCTTGCGGGTTAACACCTCCTTCTGTTTCTTTTCCTATTTCACACAATACTTTCTTAAATTTACGCGAATATTTAACATTTTAAATGAAACAATCTTTTAGGACGTTTTCGGGGTTTTTATTTTGATATTTGGTTCCTGGACGTTTCGTATAATTTACAGCAAACATGGTCACGGAGACGACCTATACCGAGTCTGGACTGTGATTGCCGTTTCCTGTTAGTTTGTTTGTTTACGTGTATTGGTTAATATATACTTTTTGACAAACTACAAAAACTTACTTTGATTAACCTTCTTTATGAATAGCTCAAAAATGGTCTTTTACAATACTACCACGTCTACTAATCCATACAAGTCTAACAAAGATATCTAGATAGGGCAATAGTGCGTTGCCTACCCGCCTGTCATAATTCGTTGGCTCACTATTACAAGGTTCTATGTTACAATTTTAGTACTTATTTAGTTATTAATGCTACAAGGTTCTATGTGTCATTAGCTACAGTTTTGCAAAAACAAACCACTAGATAGCGGCACTTTAACTACAAAATATTCAATTTTACATAGTTCTATTCTGTTTTTTTACGATAACAAAATAACGAAGTTCTATGTAAAAATTACTAAACTTCATTAAAATTAACATAGAACCTTGTAATAGTAAGCCAACGTTATGTACATTTACATTTCAAACGTACTTTATACATGTAATGGATATAACGGTAACGCGCCACGGAATGGCATTACAGTGATTATCTTCAAAACTGTTCGAGCCATGAAAACGTGTAGTTTTTTTGACAACCCTTAAAATTGACAGCATTTTCATTAAAATCAATGGATCATCGCCTGCTATATATATGGATCTTACACTGTGAAACTATTACGTCTCATTTAAAGTGATTTTGTAATCAGCATAATATCTTTTTACGAAAAAATATTTATTTTGTTTAAGAAATATTTAATTATTTATTTATAATAAATCTAAACATATTAAAATAAAAACCATAAGATGTAAATTAAATCACACTACTACATTATATTTGTTTATGTTTCTTACTCCTTTATAGTGAAACGGCATAAATGAATTTAATACAGAGGCAGACTACGAGTTACGACATTAAAGGTTGCATCAGAACGAAGCAAAGGTAAGTATCCAGTATAGACTACTGGCATTACAGACTTCGCCCGCGTTCAAACTTGCGATCGTTACCAAACTTCAAAGGATCGCACACTGGGATAATCTAAAAATTGCCTGAAATCCTCATCAAAACCGCTCTTGCCGTTTTGGAGTCTATAGGAAACATATGTACGGGACATTCCACGCCAAATCGGACGGTTTCAAAAAAAAATTGATTTTCTTAATATTTTGGTATTTTTAGTATCTCTCTAAAGAGACTTCCTGGTAAATTTTGAGATTTTTTTGATCATTGGTCCAAAAACATCGAATTTAAAAAAAACGCTGGTTTTTTGTTTTTTTTTTAACCATAACTTTCTTAATAATGGTCGAAGTTCAATATTATTTTTTTTCAAAAAAAATTTTCTAAATTAAAAAAAAGTCTCAAAATTTACCAGGAAGCCTCTTTTGAAGAGTACTAAAAATACCAATATATTAAGAAAATCAAAAATAAAAAAAATTGGAACCGTCCGATTTGGCGTGGAATGCCAACACATAGATTTTATATATAAATAGTTACTTACAGCTGCTTTTTTAGATTGTCCATGAGCCTTCATTTCCTTCAATCGCTTCTCTTGTTTCTCATATTCCTTTATCATTTCTTTACGCTTTTGCGCGTACATTTTCTTGAACATAGAATAATTGCCCTTGTAATAGAACAACTTCTGCTGGTCCAAGTGAATGATCTCGTTACATACATTGTCTAAGAAGGACTGGTCGTGGGATACTACTAGCAACGTCTTTTTCCATCCTTGTAAATAGCTGAAAATTAACAAAATAATTAAAAAACATCCATAATATTTGAAAATTAATGAAATATAACATTTTTATATTTTCGTTTTAAAATTATATCAAACGCACTCTTTCGATTGATCATAGGTCAATTTAAAAATACTCGTTTGATTTAAATAATATTATTTTTAGGATACGCGAATTATTGTTTTTTTACAGTATTAATTAAGTTCATTTAATAAAGAATCACAAACCTAAAATTTGTCTAACATGGAGCTGGAACATAGTACAAATACAGATAACAGTCTTATTGACTTTATTTATCTTAAATTATATTTTTAAAAACTTCATACTTACTTGTCTAACCAAATGACAGCGTTAAGATCTAAATGGTTTGTAGGTTCATCGAGTAGCAAAAGTGTCGGCTCAATATATAAAGCTCTGGAAATAAAGGAAAAATGTTACAACATTTTAAACACTACCCCAAGGAAAGACTAAAGACTATTATTGAAATAATTACTTCTACTTTTTTTTTCTCTTTATTTAAAGGACTTGTTCACAAAAAAGAAACATGTCGTCCTGTTCGGACTTCTTACATGCTACATAACAAATTTTAAATCCTGAACACTACTAACATAATTATGTATTAAGGTTAGAACTATAACTAATAACAATAAATGCAAGCACTTAAAAAAAAACCTTTTAGGTATACTACAATTATTTATATAATCAAACAATTATCTGTTTTTTAAGCCTAACTTTACTAATTTATACACACTTTTAGCGGAACTTGAATGAGGACATGTTAACATACTATTGCAAATTCCAATATTCATATCATTTTGAGCAAATATATACCTTCTAAACGATTCATTCCGAACACATTCCATCAAAACGTGATAAACATCTTCATTTTTTCCACACACTACACACAAAGGAGATGAAACCTTTTTCATTATAAATGCAAAATAGTTAAGGGGAATGTGTCCAGAACGAATTCTAAAAGCTAATTTAAGGGTGGATCTATCTAAATTACAGGATTCAAACCAAGGAGAGTGAAAGGGTACAGGCTGAATAGTCCTATACCAAATCCCCTTGTTCTGAGAAGTCTTTTCAAAGTTTTGCACCCACAACTTACTAATATGTTCTTTTAATATAGGTAACAGATCACAATAAAAAGGCACTATGCTTAGGGGTATTCCATCGGATCCTGCCTCTCTTGCAAGGCGATCTAGCAGCTCATTTCCTGGAACTTCTACATGAGACGGAATCCATTGGAATATTACTTTTTTATTAGAAAGTTCTAAATTTAGAATTGTTTTCAATATGTTGTAGGCTATCGGAACTCCTCGAAAATTCGAGGTGCACCGAGCCACGTGTTGGAGCGCACTTCTGGCGTCTGTTAGAATAACAAATTTCTTATGACTAACGTTATTTACATAAGATAGTGCCTCCGCAATAGCGAACAATTCAATGTACATAATGGAAACATTGGTTTCAATTTTTAACCTAATTTTAGTACCTAACTGTGGGTCTAATATAGCTGCTCCAAACCCATTATCTCCTTTCGATCCATCAGTATAAATTTTATAACAATCAGAGTATTTTTTGTGTATCATTTCTAAGCATTTGTATCTTAAATTGTGGATATCTATCTCATTTTTTGATTCTGTGACATTTTCAATGAAACAGAATATATTATTTTCTAAATTAATGTTTTGAACCCACGTGTTGAGACTAAACATTTCTAATTTTTTCGAAGAATGGATGGGGAAAGATTTTAAAAGATTATATGTATTAATTAACAAAGGTTTCTTTTTAGCCTTCCAATAGCCAGATCTAATGCACTGAGAGTTTAATTGACTCACTAGCTCAATATTTCTATTGTTCCGAAAACCTCGACTTCTTAACCAAAACTTCCCTGCTAAGAACGACCTACGTAAAGAAAGTGGATGTAAATGGAGTTCGTTTTCCATAACATGCACTGGAGTTGTTTTGATAAACCCACCAATAATACGCATGCAATGATTTTGGACTTTATCAAGTTTGTATAAATTCATATTAGAACTTGTGTCATAAAGAAAGCACGCATAATCCATACGACTACGTATCAAAGAAATATACAACCGTCTTAGATGTTTAGGGTGCATACCCCAGTCTGATCCTGCCAAAATTTTAAACATGTTTAAACATTTTTGTGCTTTATCTAAAATTTTATTTATATGTTTAGTCCATTTAAGATTCCTGTCCAACCAAAGACCTAAGTATTGGACACATTCAACTGGTTGTATCTGAATTCCTTTAAGTTTTATGTCAATATTCATAGGAAGTTTATTCTTTCCCTTCCTAAATAAACAAGTTTTAGTCTTTTTTTCAGAAACTTCTAAACCCAGAGCCTCTATCAAATTGTTAAATTTATCTAGTGCCAATTGTAACTGTAATGATCCCTCTTCTACTGACTTAAATGAACCATATAATACAAAATCATCAGCGTATTGAGATATAGAAACATTTTCTCTTCCCTGACATATATACATTGTGACTACGTTAAACAGGAGTGGAGATAAGGGATCTCCTTGTGCGAGCCCACGGCCTGTTATTCTTGAAATACTGTAGTTACCTGAGGAACGTATATTTAATTCTCTAGATCTCATAAATTCCCACAAATAAATACAAATAATTGATCCTACTCCAAGACTGTCTAATGTTTTCAATAAAATAGTAATATCAACGTTGTTATATGCGCTCTCAATATCTACAAAACACCCTAAAGTAAACATATTGTCCCCAAATCCTAATTGAATGTGAGAAACTAAACTAGTCAAACTATCCAAACAGGAGTGAGCTTTTCTAAACCCAACAGTATTTCTAGAAAAGCAATTTTAATTTTCAAAAAACCATTCTAGTCGGTGTTTTAAAATTGTATGGAAGATTTTACAAGGGCAAGACAGCAGAGCAATAGGTCTTATATCCAACAACGATTGAGTTAGGCTACCAGACTTCGGTATAGGGATAATTGAAGTTTTTCTCCATTGAGTTGGCACATATCCAGAAGCCAGAATCATATTATATATCTGAATCAATATCTCTTTCCCATTAACAGGAAGGTATTTTATCATAGAAAAGGAAATGGAATCATCGCCAGGAGCTGTATCCTTGTTTTTTATAGCACGGTTGAGTTCATGTAGAGTTATGATGCTTTCCAAGGCTTGATTACTCGAAGTAAAAGAAGGTTTATCTGGCGAGACATAATCTGGGGATAAATTACGTAAAAGTTTATTGGCAATAGTTTCATCAATGTTAGCCCTAGGTAAACGGTATCCTTTTAACCATCGCATTCGACGGCACATTTCACTAAGGGACACAATTTCATTAATACTACTACAGAACTTTCTCCAAGCTTCTCTTTTAGCTTTACGAATAGTTCTCCGTGCAGAAGCAATTTTAGCTTGAAGATTGCTTAAATTATGAGGCGTAGGGTTTTTCCTAAAAATTGCTAATGCAAGTCTCCGTTCCGCTATTGAGCGAGAGATGTCTACATTCCAATATGATTTAGGAACAAATTTTTTAAGTCTTAATGGGTCTTGACAAATGTTAACTGGGGGTATATATATATTAGCAGCAGTATTAATAGCGTCAACGAATTGATTATACGCCTCCTGAGAATTGACTGCCAATATCAAAACGGAGAAGATGCTTTGGAGAAAACTAGAATAACCATTCCAATTGGCTTTTTTAAAATTCCTCTTTCGAACGAAGTTAGGACTCTGATTATTGTTACACAAGGAATATTTAATGATGAGATGATCACTCCCTAACGATTCATTTGACATTGCCCAAGTAAACTTTAAAGCGATATCACTTGTTACCAATGTAATGTCGGGAGAAGATTTTTGTAGACTGCCATTGACTAATTTAATTCTAGTAGGTGATCCGTCATTCAGAGTTATATAATTTTTATCTAGCAATACATCAAAAAGTTGACTACCCCTGTTATCTGTCTTGTATGACCAATTCGAATGATGAGCATTAAAGTCTCCAGCAATCAAAGTTTTATTGTTATAAATGCCAAAAATATAAGCCCAATCACTTGTTGTAGTCTGCACGGACGGCGGACAGTAGATAGCAATATTTTCTATTTGAAAACAATTCAGTAATTTTAGATGTATAAGTTGTATTCCAGGATTAGTACAATATATTTTAGATAATTGATATTTAATAGAGGCATGAACTATAATTGCTACACCACCATATCCGTCGTCCCTATCCTCGCGAACTATATTATAGCCAGATATCCTAAAGTTAACATTGGAATTTAACCACGTTTCACTTAAGACCGCAATATGAATTTTCTCCTGACATAAAAATAGTTCCAACTCAGTTAACTTCGGACGTATACTTTGACAGTTCCATTGGATTATATTAACAGAACATAAAAAATCATTATCCATTTCGGAATAGATTTTTGAAGTTAGACCACTCCGATATATATTCCACAAATGAATCCATAAACCAGTAATATAAAACTTTTACACAACACTTGAGCTTTTTTGTAAAATTAATTTTTTTCATAAAAATTATGTCCTTAATTTTTTTAATTAATTGTTGCACATCAAATTTATTAAATTTCTCTCTTTGTTGGATATCTTCTCTCTCCTGTAGCTCTAGATCAATATCAGAATCTAATTCTAAAGTGTACTCCTCAACAGTTTGAACATTTTCTTGGTCTTTTCTTGCTTTCTTTTTTTTGTGTTTAATACCGATGCATTAGAATTAAGGGTCGTGTCTTGCTCCCTGTGTACTTCGGCTGTAGTTTTTAAGACCTCTGCGTATGTTATATTTTTATCTGATTGAGTTGTCCTAGGTAGGTTTTCCTGAAGAGTGTCCTCTTGATGTCTTTCATACTGAGGTGAAGGTTGCACATACATTGTAAGAGCCTTTTTGTATGTACAATTGTATTCTGCCATCAATTCCCTTATTTTCTTTTCTTTTAAATAAACAGGACAAACCTTTGACAATGCCATGTGTTTACCCTTACAGTTCACACATTTAAAAGCAGTTGTTTCGCAATTATTATGAAATTTCCCACACTTAGGACAAATGGTATTCTTTTTTGAGCATTCCTTATAATTATGGCCAAAGCGCCAGCACCTGGAACATTGCATAACGGGGAAAACAAAAGGGTCTACTTTTATGCGTGTGCCATAAGAATAAATGTATGAAGGCAAGGACGAACCTTTAAAACAAACCCTTACACATTCACTATCTTCGAACCCACCATTGTCAAAGTTCCGCCGCTTTAGCCGTTTTACATTTAATATTGGAGTAGTGCTAGTTAAATCTTGCAGAATTTCCGATTCAATCATTTCTAAATCTATGTCCCTAATTATTCCATAAGAAATGCCAACTTCAAAGGTCTTTTGACATCGATATTCTTTATCAATGAAGAATTTGCATTACATTAGCTTCTCTGCACTTTCGTTTTTGCTGAATTTTAGCATCACTTTATAGGCATTAATATACCTCACTCGAATAATATCTAATATATTTTCCTGCTTGAGGATACGGGCCAATCCTAATTGCTTAGGTAACTTCTCCTTTTTCGATGTCATACTTATCTCAATTTGTTCTTCTGGTACTCTAGTCATATCATCGTCAGACGCACTGCGTGCCACTACTTTACCTCTTCTCCCGACTTCTGTCCAAACTTCTTCCTCGTCTACCACCCGACTTCTCTTCTCTGCTCGACTTCTTTCTGTCCTCTCATATAACGATAACGAATTCTCATATAACGATAACGAATTGTCGTCATTACTGTTAATCTCGGCCCTCTCTTCTAATAAATCAATTACTTCACAATCTCGGTCCATATCTAACGAGTTTATATACTACTCATATTGCTTTAAGGTTTACATGTAGCTGACGCATACATGTAGCTGAAATGCGAATGTTGAGATGGATGTGTGGTGTGACTAGAATGGATAAGGTGAGGAATGAATACATTAGAGGGAGCCTGAAAGTTGCGCCAGTGGATGAAAAGTTGAGAAGCAATAGGTTATCGTGGTATGGACATGTGATGCGGAGGGAAGAGCAAAGTGTGGTGAAAAGAGTTTTGTGTATGGAAGTTAACGGGGACAAGAGAAGAGGACGACCAAAGAAAAGATGGATGGACTGTGTAGAAGAAGATATGATTAGAAAGGGAGTAAGCAGTGAAATGACGAATAATAGAGTAGAATGGAAGAATAAAACATATTGCGCCGACCCCAAATAAAAATTGGGACAAGGGCAGGAAGAAAAAAAAAAAAAAATCTAACGAGTTTATATCGCTATCCATATCCGACGAGTAAAAAATTCATTGCAATTTATAAAATAACAAATACGCGTACGCTTAAACAAAACCGGTTCTAAACGACCGCCAACAGCAAGCGAACGCAAGCGATTACTTCTACTTTATTTTATTTTATTTAAATTTATGTTATTTTTAATTCTTGTTAATTTTATGTTTTTTATCAACTACTATAATAATTCCTTACTGTAATATTATGTAATGAAATGAAATAAACTTTATTGAATTATACTTATTACAAGTGCTTTTGAATCGTCAATTTGATGTAAGCGTCAGTGTAGTCAGTCTGTGAGGAAGCTACCACCAGCTCGGAAAGCAGTTGTACTAAGAAGAACCGGCGAGAAACTAAACTAGTAATTAATATTATTATTACGAATGCTATATACACTTGTAATTGATATACATAACTGTTTTTTTTACTTTAATTGTATTGAATAGTTTTAACATTGTTAGTGTGCTTAATAATGAATAAATAAATGAATAATAATATTAATATTACCGTGCCAAAGAGACTCTCATGCGCCAGCCACCGGAGAAGTTCTTGGTGGCGCGGTCCTGCATTGCGCGGTTGAAGCCCAGACCGGCCAGGATGCGGCGCGCGCGCGGCTCCGCCGAGTCCGCGCCTATCGCCTTCAACTCGGCGTATACCTGACAAAAATATAACCAAATGTTTCTTATTTACTTTCATATGTCCGATTATATGTTCCCTCGTAATTACCAAATGGCTTAAACAACTTAGATTATTTATATATCATTAAATTCGTCTTGATATGATATTTAAAAAAATCAAAATGGTGAATTCCAGACGCCGGTGTCTCCGACTGCATAAAACATCGTACGTTCCTTCGTCAACTTATTCCCATATTTTTAGTTTAGTTTTTGCGCAGGCCGATTTTTTATATAACTAGCGGGTCACTTTCGCTTTGCTCGGGTTCGTCCCAAGGTACGTGTTAATAGTGTCCTTAAGTTTTTATTTAACGCTTATTTTTTTACAATGTCGCCGTGAACATTCCAAATTTGCAATTTGACGAGTCGTGAAAAAATAATAAAAGTTGGAATTCACGTAAAGTAATAGCAGAGCTTTTGTACTTTTTTGCCGTAGAATCTATTCATGTTATTATTTATTAATAAATTAATTTCATTCATAGTCTAATCTTGTTTATTTATTAGTTAAGCATATAATAAAAAAAATGAAATTGATATTTACATAATTAAGTCTTGATTTTGATAAAAAATCATAAAAAAATGTAAAAATTTGCATCCCCCCATTTCTCGGGGGTAGCTGGCATCGGGGACATTAAACATTTTATGAATTTCTATTCCTTATATACCTGCTAACATTTTAAAATTATAAAACTTCAGGTTTTCAATATATTTTTTTCTCTTAAAAATAAACAAATTCCGATTGGTCCATAAATGCAAAAGTTCACAACAAATCATAAAAAGTCTCTAAACTAGTAAATTTTATTGTTTATCTGTCGAATTTGTGTCTCTACAGATTTTTTTTTCCTAAAGTGAACCATCACCGAGAATCGTACTTTGGATAAACAAATAACTCACCTCATTTAATTTATCTTGTTTTTTTAGGTCACCCTTTTCAATTTGAAGTTCCAAATCCTTACATTCTTTGAGAAGCTCTGAAAAAATAAATAATAGTAAAAAATATTAAATAAAATAATGTAAAATTAAAACAAATGTTAATAATTTATTATTAAATTATAATTGAATATTTAAATACAATTATCAAACATATTTATTTAAAAAGAAATGTTTTATTACATACCAGTTCTTTTAACATCTGACTCCAGCAAAGTGTCAACCGCACTCATATCACTTGCGGTGACCTCTTGTTCACACAACAGTATGTCAATGTGAGGGGGGAGAGGAAAGGCCCTTTGTGCCAAATGCCTTAACAATGTAGTTTTTCCATGGCCATTAGGACCAACTAGACCATACCTACGGCCATTAGCTACAAGTAATGTTGCATTCACAAACAAGTCTTTCCCTTTAGCGCTGATCGAGAAGTTCTCAACTTTGATGTCGACCGCATTTTCTAAAGCTGCCATCTGACCTAAATTTTTTTTATAATATATTTTGTAATATTATTATAAAAATTAAAAACTAAAAAAACTTGCTTTTGAGCAATTGTGATGTAAAGGACTGTTCAAAATGAATTAAATAAACCCAAACTCAATAATTATCCAACAACAAAGCAACAGAATACAGGGATTGTTGCATAGAGATAGTCCCAATATAGAAGTGACATGGTTTTATTATACATAATATATTATCATAGATCAAGTTACCAGAGGATCAAGTGATATTATATATCAATATATACAAATATCATTATATTTCATTAATATACTTTTTATTTACAAAATACTACATTAAATTTTGCTGACGGCTCCCATTGTTTATTTATGTTGCTACCTTTCTTAATAGGCTGCAAAATGCAACAAGAATTTTTCAAACTTCACTTACCACTTACCAGAAGCAGTACATTTTCAAGAATAAGTGCATTCGATCAAACAAATTTTATAATTACATATAGTATCAATTTACCTGCCGATTTCTGAGCTTGACTAACTGTAAAGTTAGCATCTAAGTCACTGTGGCCCTGTCCGCCCTTCTTGGTGAGCAATTCCACCTGTTTCTCATATTCTTGCTGTTTCTTTAACTTCTTCTTCTCTTTGTGACTCATTTTCTTTTCAGGTTCTAGTTTTTCTTCACTTTTTTCAGATTGCTATAACAACACTGTTATATTCAAATATTTATCATTTAATAAAGTTAATCTAAAATTCACTATAAGAATTAGTGATGTGATAATAAAAATTCAACCTATTTGCCATATTTTTTAATGGTGTTATAAAAGCTTTTTATTATTTAAACTAGCTGATCCAACAGACATTGTCTTGATCAAATTTCAATAAATTTGTTTGTTATATTTGAGTTCATATAAATCTGTCCATCCGTTCTCAACTGATGCACTTACTAACAAAAAACTTTCATTTTTATTTATATGTAGATCAAGATTAATTACTTAATGATTTTAACATACCTTTGTGTCTTCTTGCTCTTCTTCTGGTTCTTCTTCTTTGATTTCAAATTTTTTCAACTCTTCCTCAATATCATCTATATTGTTTTTCTTTCTGTGTTTACCTTTACTTTTGACAACAGGTTTTAAAATATCTTCATCTTCTGATTCTATTTTTAATTCTTTATCACTTTCTTCATCAGGCCATTCATCCTTTTTTCCTTTTCCTAAAATTAAATGAACTATTAAATTTCATCCAATTAGATTATGATACTGCTTAAATTAAAATATTGGATAGCTTTCTTTGTTAATGTTACAGTGCTGGTGGAACAAGAGTAAATAAATATTAATTATAATTAAAAAAAAATACCATACCTTTTTTACCCTTGGCCTTGCCAGGCTGTGTGGCATTACTTGATACATTACTAACTACTGATTTAGAATCATCTTCATCTTCATCTGATGATTCAACAGCTACAGACTTTTTTTTATTCTTAGCTGAAATAAAAACATGTTTTACTAATAATAATTCATAAAAATTAATTATTATATACAATTATTAAGGCTTAAAATGAAATCAGGCCACTACCTTTTTTTTTATTAACAGGTTTTGCAACTTCCTCCTCAGATAGTTCTTTTAATTCAACATCACTATTTTCATCTGACCAGTCATCATCTTTCTTGCCTTTACCTGGAAAATAATAAATTGTATAAAATATATCAATTTCATCATAATTATATAGTGTACTTTGTTTTTTGTTATATTTCTATAACAAATTATATTATTTTATTCTACATTAATATTTTATAATCTATTTTGTTTACTCACCTTTCTTTTTCTTATTTTGTTTTGTAGATGATTTTGAAGCTATACTTGTAGAATTACTGAGAGTAGATTTGTTTTCATCATGTTCATCATCAGATATATCACCACCTTTTTTTTTAGCTGTTTATTTATAAGACATACAATTAGTTTAATAGAATTTGTGGAGAATTAGTTATAAAAAAGAACAACAATAGCAACTCAATACAACTGACCTTTTTTTTGAGACTTTTTGACTGGCTTCACTTCAGGTTCATCATCTGAGATGTTACTTTTTTTCGGTATGTCTGCATCATCAATGTCGCTTGTGTCAATGTTAATTTTACTTTTCTTTTTACCTTTTCCTTTCCCTTTAGAGGTTATATCAGAAGTTTGATCTTGTGTCTTACTCTCTTCGAAATCGTCGCCAAAATCAAGATTTTTTTTATTTCCCTTCTTTTTGGACATGGTGTTATTTTTTATATATAAATAAAAATATGCTCAATTGAATTTTTAACCATATGGAAAATAGGAGAAATCGACACGACAACGAATATTATTCTACTATGACATTGACAATTGACAAAGGAAAAATTGGTAAAAAGTGAAAACTGACAACGATTTTTGACATATAGCCAAAGAGAATTAATTTAAAGACGCCGTCTAGACGAACGAAAATGGCATATTCCTACAATACTCGTAATCCAAGTCCATACTTAACTATCTAATGTTCTTTAAATAGCAAACATAGATGAATAATGGCAGCAAGTAATACTTCTATATATATTATATATATGGGTGTAATGGATTTTACTAAAAAATAACTCAATATACCTGCTATGCTCTCATCCATGAACGAATTAACCATATTCGTTCACGCTCTCATCGTATGGTCGTTGATATAATATAAATACTGCAAAATCGATTTAAATATTAACAAATGAAAGATCTACTACATAGTAGTATATTATCGTACTTTAAAGTCTAATAGACATTGAAACTAGAAAATACCATAATAGAAAATATAATACTAATAACTAGAAATTTCCCTCAGATCGTGTTGAAGACATGCGCTCCGGGGTTGGCACCGGTCTTAACGCGTCTTTTCCGGTACTCCTATTCATTAGGCGTAGTCCCGAAATCCTGGAAGGCCGCTTTAGTGCATCCGATCCCAAAAAAGGGCAACCGCTCGGATCCGTCCAATTACAGGCCTATAGCCATTACCTCCTTGTTCTCTAAGATAATGGAGTCCATTATCAACTGCCAGCTCCTGCGGTACCTAGAAGAGCACCGACTGATCAGCGACCGCCAGTACGGCTTCCGTCGAGGTCGCTCAGCCGGTGATCTTCTAGTTTACCTGACACATAGATGGGCAGAAGCAGTTGAGACCAAGGGGGAGGCGCTTGCAGTCAGTCTGGACATAGCGAAGGCCTTTGATCGAGTATGGCATAAAGCGCTTCTTTCGAAGCTACCTTCCTATGGGCTCCCCGAGAAATTTTGCAACTGGATCACCAGCTTTTTGGTAGATCGGAGCATTAAGGTCGTGGTCGACGGTGCTTGCTCTGATCCTAAATATGTCAATGCTGGTGTTTCACAAGGCTGCGTACTGTCTCCTACTCTGTTCCTTCTGCATATCAATGACATGTTGCAAATCAGCAACATTCATTGCTATGCAGACGACAGCACTGTGGATACCCTGTACACTGGCCGCGCTAATGTTTCTCGGGAATAAGTCAACGAGAGCCGGAACAAACTTGTGTCTGAAGTCGAATCTTTGTTAACCAAAGTCTCGGATTGGGGTCGACTAAACTTATATACTATTCTTTATTGCACTTATATGTAAAATACAGAGAGTAACAAACAATAAAATTAGTTAGCAAAGGTGGACTTATCTCTAGAAGAGATCTCTTCCAGTCAACCTAAGTGAGTTAGAGAGATAGTATTAAAAACTTAGTCCAATTTAACCCCAAAAAGACACAAGTTTGCGCGTTAACCGCTAAAAAGTCGCCATTTATCGTAGCTCCTCAATTTGAGGACACTCCTCTGTCTCCCACAGCCAGTATCAGAATACTTGGCGTTGACATCTCGAGCAACGTCCAGTTCCGTGGTCAATTGGAAGGTAAGGCCAAATTGGCCTCAAAGAAGCTTGGTGTGCTCAGCAAGGCGAGACAGTACTTCACGTCGCGTCAGCGTTTTATTCTTTATAAGGCGCAAATTCGGCCCCACATGGAGTACTGATCTCATCTTTGGGCGGGAGCTCCCCAGTACCAGCTACTTCCATTTGACCGCATTCAACGTAGGGCGGCTCGAGTTATCGACGATCAAGCTCTCTCCGATCGGCTTGATCCTTTAGCTCTGCGTAGAGATATTGGATCACTCTGCATCTTCTACCGCATTTATCACGGGGAGTGTTCCGAGGAATTGTTCGGACTGATCCCGGCTTCTGAATTTCATCATCGGACATCGTGCCAAAATATTAAATTCCATCCACACCATCTCGATGTCCAGCGTTCCACAACAGTGCGATTTTTAAGGCATTTTCTGCCTCGCACAACCACTCTGTGGAACCAGCTATCGCCGTCGGTCTTTCCGAACCGCTACGACTTGGCCACCTTCAAGAAGAGAGCGTATTCTTTCCTTAAAGGCCGGCAACGCATCTGCAAGCTCTGCAGTGTTACAGATGTCCATGGGCGGCGGTGATCACTTTCCATCAGGTGAGCCTCCTGCCCATTTGCCCCCTTAGTCCCATAAAAAAAAATACCCTCAGAATCGGTAGATATCGAAGTTATTAGCAACGTTTTGGAAAACATCTCCCAAAATAGGTCACCAATATGGTAAAATTTGTAAATAATATAAGTATATATCATTTTTGTATAATAGTGGGTATCAGTAACAAGTGTATAACGCCTTTTAGACGTCTATAACCTTAGTCTCTCCTGTGAACATGATTGCTGTAAAGAATTCGAAAAGTCGGGAACCAACAATCAAAATAATTCCGCGAAATAATCTATATATTCGATGAATGTAAATATATATTTTTTTTATTTTAAAAGTAAATTAAGGAAACTGGCCACTAAAATATTTAAACTGGTTCAGAAAGAGAAGAAACAAAAAATAAAAGAACTGTAAAATTCTATCATCTGTTTTTACAACCATGATATACATTTTAAGGTTTTTGCATTTTTTAATTTGTATTTTATTAGTGCTTAAAGTTTGTGCTAATGAAAATGTAATTAAAAACGACGATGATAGAGATGATGACACGGATGATGCAACAGAGGAAACCTTGGAAATTCCGATGAATTCAACAGGATGCTCAAGAAAAAGAAATATTCTGGTGCATGAGATCAAAAAAGCCAGTATCAGCCAATTTCCATTTATGGCAGCTTTAATGTCATCTCGTAATGAATACCTTTGTGCCGGTTCCGTAGTCTCTAATGGAGTAATACTCACCACTGCTCAATGCACAGAATTTGTTAGCTATGTACTTTTAAATACTACAACTGACAAAAAAAATGACAACACCTTGCATGTTATTAAAAGTGAGAAATTTCCAACCTTTATAGGTAGTAACATTGTCAAGGATGTAGCTCTTGTATACACAGAAAAATTTAATACTACGATGGCAACTAAAATTAATATTAGTAACTACACGTCCGTCAAAAATCTAAATGAAATAGAAGCTCTTGGGTTTGGACTGAATGCTGAAATTGACACAGTAAAAGAACTGCAGTATGTTGGATTAGAAACAAAGCCTAAAATAAACAATCCAGGAGACGTGATTGAAGGTTATTTAGATTGCATTGATACAAAGGTATTGACATGTTTTAAGGACAAGGGTGGACCTGCAATATTTAACAACGAGTTAGTTGGAATAATCATCTCGGGCCAGAACGAATGCACGAGAGAAATAACATCTACATACGCGCTAAATAAGCTAATGGTAACTGCCATTCCAATTTATACGTTTAAAGCTTGGTTTGATGAAAAAATAGCAAAATATATTGAAAAAGAGGATGCCCAATTGGAGGTTTTTCCTAAGAAGCCAATTACTCGTAAGGCTACCGTACGTCATGTCATGACGCACGGTAGTGCAGGTGGTATAAAAGATAGATTGCAACCTTATATATTATTACTACCATTGTGGTGTTTTAGATTTTAGTAAAAGTTTCAAATTATTGCTAAATTTACATGATGCGGATGTACAATACTTGAAATAAAGTCTTTTGTTTAATTTTTATTCATGTTTTTTTTTACCTGAATACAGACCCAGAATGGGAAAGATGTCTAGAAAGGAGGGCGCTACACGTATGGTCTATTTACGTACAATCTGATCTTCAGCAATTTATTGTGATATCTCTTTTGTACCTGGTTTTTGCTTCTATTATGTTCGCATCTTACCTGTGCAATGTATTTTACTTGTGACTATTCTATATTGTTGTTACCATGGATGACAAAATGTTTGTTACCACAGATTTATATGTCACTGTCACACCAATTACATGTACTCTGTGTCACACGACAGACAGCACATTACACAACTGTCATGCTTGCATCTTGATTAATGATTTTATTTGTCAATACAACAATTGTCATCCATGATTAAAATCATGAAAATTGAAATGTCTTATTTTTCTTGTTGTATGTTAAAAAAACAATACGATTATTAAAAACCCTATTGATTACAAGTAATATAACTCTAATGGATAGTGTTACTGAAGAAGAGGCAAGGATAATAATTCTTTTTGTTATTTTAACGAATACAATATTTTTTAAGCATAATTCTTTTATCAAATTTTAGAACAGGGGGGCTAAAATAATACCATCAGCGAGAAAAAGTATTCATAGCTATAACAATACATATAATAGTACTTATCTTAAAACAATGGGGAAATATGGTGTTAATGCTCATAGAAGAAAACAACAGAACACAATCTCTACCCCAGATCATGGCGTTGATGAGATTGATAATGTTATGAGGTATTTTGTATTCTATTATTATACGGTTGATTTCTATTGGAAAATAATACATTTATCACTTCAATAAACATTTTTAAATTTGTAAATCACTCTTAACTACACTTAAATTTGGTAAATTAAAACTACCGTCAACATATAAAATAAGGTACTTAATGAAATGGAAAAGTATTTCTTATATCTGTATATGTTTTACACTATAAAATCTTCAAAATTTTAAATATAGGACACATTTTTTTAATATGTTATCACAAGTGATGAAAATGATAGTTCTTTGGCTGTATTCTGGATACCATATATCCTGCGAGCTGTAAGACTGGATAGCCAGATATCTGGCAGCCGAATATTAAACTTGTTGTCATATTGTATGTTGTGACAAATGTATTATAATATGTATTGTAAAAAGTTATATATTATAGTAATAATTTTAGCATATTAGGGTGTCATCATGACTTAGTCATTAACAAAAGTCAATTGTTTGCTTGCTCAACTTTTTATTTAATCATTTATTCCGGGCAATATTTACAAAAGGATCTTAAATATGTAAACAGAGGCCCATAGCATATATACCTTAAAACTAACATATGTATTAATTATAAAACTTAAAAACTATTTAACATGTAGTGCAAGCTTTATAGTTTTTAAATACCTAGTATCTAAACTGATAGTAAAATAAGGCTGGATAGTTACTGGATATCGGTTTCATCCCTAGTAATCACCCATTTCACTAAATAAGGACATTATCACTAAATGGTTTTTTCTATTTAGTTACTTCAACCCTTAACCACTTACCACATATTATTGTCAAACAAATATCCATTACTTTTGTGTTTATTATTTTGCCAATTTTGACACTGTTGATTATGTGATGTAAATATATATATTTTTTTTAGTAAAATAGCTCGTCCTTCCAGTCCTTTAACATTAAGAAAAAATAGCCCAAAATGCAGGAGAAATTCAGTTGATATAATAAACAATGAATACAGTAATGATGAATCAGATGATGAGTAAGTATTGTTAGACACATAAAAATAGTTATTATTGATATGTACATTACCATCTCATTAAAGGCTTTAATCATTTGCTATACTCATTACTATTATTCAAAAATGTGCAGAAATCTGTATTTAAGATATAATGAGTTGGTAATGTCCTTTCAGAGATATTCTATCCAAATCTTCCCCCGCAACATTTTCAATTTTCAGTGAGGAACTATACACTAGTGCTTTGCAAAGTGAACAAGAAAATCGGAATGCATCAAAGTATTCTCTTAATGTATCAGCGCAAAGGAGTAGATGTAATGAGAGTGTGGGTTTGCATAATAATCTATTTCCGGAATCTTCCATAAGAAATGAAACAAAGAAATCATATAATTTCTTAATGGCCATTTTGGTACTCTTTCTTGCTACTGTGACTTATAGTCAATACAGTATATTAAATACTTCACCGGCTGATGTCAATGTAGTGTATGATAAGTTAAAATTTTATAATGATGTGAAAGATTTAGAAGAAAAATATAAAGTTAAATACACATCAATACTGCAAGTGAGAACTGGTGAGCTCATAAGTTTTATTTAAGCAAATTAAATATTTCTATAGTATTCTAGCAATAAATTGCTAAGACATTGTATTACATGTATGGTAAATACATTACATAGCCTACCAGCAAGAAAAGTGTAATCAATTATTATTAGTTTAACACTCAACTATTGACAAATAATCACTGCTGAACAACTCCAGATAAATTTCTAAAAAATTAATAAAATTCTAAGAAATCTATTGTTAACTGACACGCCGGCGTGTTCGCGGTCGTGAAGGGATTAAATCAAAATCTATCAAATAGTTATAGTTATTAATTAATATAATAATAATAATCAAATAGTTCCTCATAAAATATATTTTATCATAGAGATTGGATCCTTAATTTTGCTGTCAGATATCAGACATAAAAAGAAATATAAACAATAAATAAAATTACAAATATTTTTAATAGTATTTTAAATAAGACAGCCTTTGAAATGTACATAAAAGCACCTCAAATCAGTTATTTTTAAACAATTATTCCAAAACCTTTACAACTAATTCCAGGTGTCTCCACTATCTTTGAGAACCAAGATGCTGGATCATTTATATTTACTTATAATAGTCAAAAAACAAACTTCAACTCTGCCAAATTCAATAACTTTATTGAAGATTTAGCAGCAACTGCGTCTAGATATTTAAGTAAGTTATTTCAATCTTTTATTTACCTACCTTCATGTTACTTGAAAAACAAGTGCAATAATCACATTAGATTTTTGTATTTTGTGTATATGATTAACATATATCAGACTTTTGTACTACATATTCTGATTTGCAATAGTATCTGCTAAAGATTACTAATCAACAGATTAAAAGAACAAAGCAGACTACAACAAAGAAGGGGTTGCTCCCACAGTCCACTCTGCTATCAGAGAAATACCAGAAGGAACTCAGCATGGTACACCGCCCACCGAAGTGGGTCACCTCCCATTTTGTCTCTTGGCTTCACGCTCAGCTGGATGGCCGGACGCCAATGAGCCTCTCTACCACAACAAGTTGAACACACATTGGAGGGAATGCCAATATAACCTTTTTTTAATGTTGGGAAATGCATTTATGTATACCACCTGCATTCATACAGGTGGTTATGTGGGACTAGAAAAGTAAGAGAGAGAGAAAACTAAAAAAGCCAGTACTACCCACTAAAACTCAACAAAACCTTCCTCGTCTTAATGGGGCGTCGCAGGATTGCTTACGCACTCAATCACGACGCCCCAACAGCAGATCTGCCAAAGTGGACCATATATAATGTATATGTAGTTCGGATGACAATACTATAACTTGGTATCGATCTGACCATGTGACCAGGTAGTGGATAGTGGTTCTCTTCTATGGTTACCATAAAACCCCATTGAGTTTTAGGCTCATATGATTCTTTTTGACAAGTCCCATACATTTCAAATCATCAACTCGGTTTCTCACCTAAACAAGGAAAAGGGAACCCTTTTAGAATCACTTCGTTGTCCGTTCGTCGTTATGCCTGTTAAGACTCTTTATCTCGAGAACGCGTGAAGGTATCAATTTGAAATCAATATTAAATACTAACGTCTGCAATTCCTTAGAGCTAAAAAAAATGTATCTTCTAAGTCAGCGCACTCAAAAGATACAAATAAAGGTAAAAATTCGAACCTCGTAGATTTGTAGTGATATCACAAAAAAAACTTGCGTTTATAATCTTATTTTAATGATTCATGCTATGGAACCCTCGGTGCGCTAGTCAGACTCGTACTTGTCCGATTTTATTTTGATTAAAAAAAAACGATAATTATTCATTATTATTGCAGGAAATGAAAGTAAAGAAGTACATGTGGTTGTGGACACTTCAAATATCACAGTGCATTCTGTCTATGATTTTATGAATGAGTACAGAGAAGGGCTGGACAAAACCGGGGTGATGCTTGTAAAAGATATATACAATATTCCCTCGGAGCTTGCTATGGCATTTCATTACTACTGCGATGAATTTAGCCCGTTAGTGAAGAAAAGTGCGATATTCTTTACTTTAAATTTATCAAACTGCTCCCAGCATGGTAAGATGTTTCTTTTGACGTTGTTAAATTATGTATTTTATTCTAAGGGTCTGTACACACGACTACTTTTTTATCGCACTATGGACGCACCCTAATCTGCGTTTGTATCGGTACGAACACGAGCTATTTTCATTTTTTAAACTTACTAATAACATTATCACAAATATTATTTAGGTTTGTATATATTTTTAATCATAAAAAAATAAAAATAAAAAAAATATTGTCCAAAAAATGAAATTTAGGGTTGGTCCACACTTATCACATAAGGGTATGAAAAATAGTTTAACGTCCTATTCTCAGACCTTTTTTTTTTTTTTTTAACGTTGGGAAATGCATTTACGCACGATGTGTGGGACTCACCGGCGAAGCCAGTACTACCCACTAAAACCCAACAAAACCTTCCCCCGTCTTAATGGGGCGTCGCAGGATCGCTTACGCATTCAACTACGACGCCCCGACGGCAGGTCTGCCGAAGCAGACCACAACAACCATGGGGTTGCTCCACGGTCCACTCTGCTATCAGAGAAGTACCAGGAGCAACCCGCATGGTATACCGCCCTCCGAAGAAGGCCGCCTCCCACCGCCCACCGAAGCGGGCCACCTCCCTGTGCGTTTCTTGGCTTCGCGAGTACACTACTGAGCCCCCCCACCACGACAAGGTGAACGCACGTTGGGGGGGGCCTATTCTCAGACCTACTCAATATACACAGAAAATTTCATAAAAATCGGTCAAGCCGTTTCGGAAGAGTTTTGTTACAAACACTGTGATACGCGAATTTTATATATATATACTACTATTATAAAGAGGTAAAGTTTTTGAGTTTATGACGTTGTAGGGGGTAATCTCTGAATCTACTGAACCGATTTAGATGAAATTTGGTAAGAAGACAGTTTGAGACACTAGGAAGGACATAGGATACTTTTTATCCTGGAAGTCGTCCCTTAAGGGGTTGAAAATGGGGATGAAAGTTTGTACTGGGAACCAAGCTAGGGACGAACACGAGCGAAGCGAGGGTGAGTCGCTAGTTAGATATAACATAATATTATATTAATATGTATATGATTTACAGATCAAAAATCAACACATGATTATATCGAAAAATGTCTCGCAAAGAAATGGAATTCCATAGAGGAAGATAAGATTGGGCCATTATTAACAAGAGTTGTGAACATTGTCATAGACGTTACAGCTACATTTTAAAAATATTACAATACAACTATGAAATTAGAAAAATAATAATTTTATCCTTTATTTATTTGCTACCGCAACAACGTATAAATAAATATTACATTGTACACGTTTTGACTGATAGGTTAAAACGTAAGTCGCATATAGGTCGAGGCAGGTATGAAGCCGCGCAGAAGTCCATTTTAGTCCTTTTTACTCTTTAGTGGTATATTGTGAGGCGCGGTGGCTTGCTGTGATTGTCTGTTTTCCAATAACAGAGCATAATGCCGCACTTTGGCACGAACAACGCGAAAAACACTTCTTATATTATCCGCTACTGAGTTGGTAGGTCACGCCAACGCAGTACTTTTTAAAGTGCTCGATTGTGTGGAGCGTTGCTGTAGTTGAAACATTCGAAATTGAGCATTATGCCGCATAATGCGCTTTAGTGCTATAATTGGAAAACACCGCACGTCGAGGCATAGGCGTCGCTCGTGATTGGTTCTCTGCGTCCATTGCACGTACTAGCAACGGCGTCGTAACGGCATTTTATTTTGCCATAAAACTAAGATGCGCAAAGGCATCCCCACTCTATCATCCAGTCCTAAAGTTATTTGCCCCGACCTATAATAGAGAACAGCCTTTATATAGCGGAATCCGCTGAAACAGTATTATACTGTAATACAAATATCAAATGTGCGTCACAATAATGTTACTATTTAATTTAGAGAAACTACTTAATTTGTATAACTATTGGGACTTCAATATTTTTTGCTTAATTATAGTCTCACGCCATACTTTAAGCTTGAAACTCAATTTTTTAGTATGCTGAATATATACTTACTACTTATCTATTGTTAATTTACAAGATTACATAAATTATCACAAATTAGAAATTTTATTTTGTACCATAGATTTTAGTCATTTTCATTACGCCATTTCCATCCTTTATGTGTAAATTTTAATAGTGCAAAATTAATTTTAAATAGTAGGTACATATTGTTTACAATTCATTATGTTAAGTAAAATAAAAATTAGCATATAATTCATTACATATACTGTTTAGAGTAGTAATCATTTAACTAATTCATTCTCATTTTTAGCAATAGTTGTCTGAAGCATTATTTCATCGAATTCATTAACTGACTTTAAGTCAAAATAATTTTTATTTTATTTATAAAAGTGTGATTTTTGTCAATTTTATTTTAATTAGAAAAGTTTTTTTAATAAATAACGTGATAATGTATACCTACCTACCAGTTTTATTTATTTAATTTAAAATATAAACTAATAAAATCTTTTTAATCATTGTAACTTTTATTACTTGATCCCAAATCACTGACTAATAGAATAAAATTAATGAAGTAGGTCATAACCAAAGTTCGAAATCGTATTTTATTCAGCTGTTTGTAAGGATAATCCTCTCCATTGTGCCCATAAAGGTAAAAGAAGCAAAATATACAAAAGTATCTATAATGCTGACAATTATTGTTTAATACCTCATCAGAAAAATATGAAATATTACTATAATATAGTTAATTATTCAATTCTTTTGTTGAGTAGCCGGCCGATTACTTTATTCATATTATTATTCTTAAAAATAGATGATTATTAATGAAAAACCTTATTTTCATTTTGTAATTTTGGGGGTATTGGGTATGCACTGTCTGCCTCCTGACTCGTATAATGCCTTTGAGACGTCTAAAACATTAGTAACTCCCGTGACAATGATTGCTGTAAAGCATTCGAAACGGGAACCAAAAATTAAAATAAAACTGCAAAAAGATCCGAAGAGATACCTACTTTTATTTAAGACTAGCGACATACCCTCGCCTCGCTTGGGTGTGTTTGTTCACAATTTTATGAATTTTAATTTTTTTGTGCGGAACCTCGATTTTTTTCTAAAGTAAAAGTAGCCTAAACTATTCTCTATAACATCAATTATCTGCCAGTGAAAGACCCGTCAGAACCGGTCGAGCCGTTTTTTAGAGTTTAGCCGGAACAAACAAACATACTTACAGACTTTTTATTTATCTGTATAGATGTCAAATATTCGCGTGAATCTAAGAATTTCTTAGATTCATTCAATTTCTTAGTAAGAAAATATGAACTGACTTAGTTTCTGCAAGTAGGTACTTTTACTTTATTACAAACTGTCCTAGCTATAGGTACAATTCACACTGTTTTATTTTTCAAAAAAAAAACACAACAATAAATAAAAATCTGTTCGTACATGTCTGTACGCGCGACTCGTGTAAGAGATGCGAAGGCCGAAGAGCGACAAACATCGCGGAAAACAATGATCGGCTAGCCCGTATATATGCAAGTCGGCCTTTTTCCAACCAACTAGTCAGCTGTCAGTTAGTCGGCCCCTATCTAGTATTTATCAAAAATATTTTTCACCGATACTTTTCTTTGCCTTAATATATTCTCAAAACATTAGAAGCTCTTTTAGGGACTATGCACACGACAACAGTAATTTTTTGAACGTTTTCGACGCGTTTCACGAATGACTAACGAGTATTCAGTTTAGATTTTAAAATTGGCAGGGCTGGGCATAGACCTTTGCAGGGCTAATGTTTATTTTTTGTTAAAACTGTTTTTTTTTTACTATAAACTAGATAAAATTAACTAAAACCAGCTAAAATGAAAACTCACACCTAAACAATACTAATATACACTAAATGCCTCAGTCTAATTGTTAAATTCAAAAGCAATAGCTTTCTGAAATGAAATAATGCAATGTACCAATAAAACAATTAAAAAGATGCTTAAAAATGTAGTCTTTATTATACTTCATTTTATTTATAAAACATGACAAATGCAGCTTATACAAAAAAAATCAAAATAATGACAAACATCATCAATTTCGAAAATCTACAACACTGGGAAAAATTATATAGGTACTTTTACACACATAATTTCTAGTGGGGTACAAAATGATTCTACAACACTCATATCATTTTTTTTTTTTTATAGAATAGTTGTTAATATTACTGAATAGGCCAGAGCGTACTTTGATCAGGGGTGTTGATATCTGAGCTCTCATTAGCATCTTCCAATGATTCTGGCTCCAACTCATTATTATTTCTAGCTGGGGAATTTCTGGGGAGCTCTTCTTCTTCGTCTTCATCATGAGATTCTTCAGAATCGTCAGATTCATCATTACCTGTAATTCAATTTAATGGAAACAAATAAGAATAATTCTTCATTTTATATAATAATATTTCTATCTGTAACATCAAAATTGTGCTCATAATAATAATACCTACCTTCTTCTTCGTCGGAATCAGCTTCTTCTTCCATAGGCTCTGCATCTGTCTTGCCTAATGGTGTTCGTTTCATGTACTGCTGTCCAATGGAATTTAACTGTAAATAAGAATATTTGTTAAATAACTTACATTTTACTCGGCTACTTCAAATGTCAACATTTATTCCTAATTCACTTGAACAAAATATAAGCCAGATTTATATCAAAGTTAACTCATGTTTACCCATTGTTGGTGAGCTTGTTCCATGCTGGTTAATTCTGCGTCTTCATCACACGGGCTGTCGGCGTTGAACCAAGAAGGATCAACCAAACGAGGATACAATATTGGGAACGGTATATTCATGATTAAAAGTTGAACTCACGCCAACACTGTAATTCAAATTACTTAAATTCAATAGTAGGTACAAAATGTCCAAACTCTTGTTTTCATAAATGTCAATGTCATTACTCAAGTATTGATTGTACACTGTTCCCGGTACCTACTTAAATTATAAATGCATTCGGTTGCATTTTTTTAATAGTCACAGCTACACATCAAAAACATTTTAAATAACAATTGTGGAATTAAAAAAAAGAATATTTTTTTGATATATATCGCTTCGTTGTCGAAATTTTACTTTTTAGAGTATTTACTTCTAATTTCTAAATTACCTATTGCGTAGGTGACATTGTTTTCTATGCTAATAAAATTGATTTTTCACTTTGTTGATAATTAATTTAAGATAGTTTACATAGTTTAGTTTTCCAAAGTAATTTATTTATTTTTTTACTTTTGGTTAAATATAAATTAATCCTATAGGTAACTTGGAAGAACTTAACACCACACTGATCCAAAAAAAGACGATATTGAACTCTCGCCAATTAAAGCCAATGTCTTCTGATCCTGCAGACTATACACATCTGGGCTCTGACGCTAAAACGTTGACTTATTAGTCGATCGCTTACTTTACTATCGCTTTCTTTACGTTATTTCCCGGCCAACTCTGTTCATGATTCATCACTTAACTCTTATCCATTTCCAATAGATTGAGCCACGTCGTCAACACTTCTGGGTTTGATGGAGCATGTTTGTTTCTAAATTACAACAGAGAACCGTGGCGTTCCTGTAGAGAAGGGTTGAAGCTGAAATTTTTAATTTTAAGGTAATTACAGAAAGAAATTAAATTCATTCATAGTCTAATCTAGTTTACTCATTAGTTAAAAAATTTAATTAAAAAAAAAAGTTGATATTTACTAAATTTAGTCATAATTTTGTTAAAACATCATTATAAAGATGTAAAAAATGAAAACGAATATATACGAATATCTCGAAAACTTTGAGGTTATTGTAAAATGTGTTATTTATAAAAGTTGTAGATTTTTACTAGACCTACAACTTTTGTAGAAAACTTTTTTCGAAAGAACGTCACAGTAAGCCGGAAATTGAATAAAACTATTTTTCAACGCTTTGCGACCCCCTATTTCTCGAAGGTAGCTGGGCATCGGGGGCATTTTACGAATTTCTATTCCTTATATACCTGCTAACATTTTAAAATCATAAAACTTCAGGTTTTAAATATTTTGTTCCCAAACCGGATTCCGATTGGACTATTTATTCAAACTGACTATTGACTCTGATAATTTTTTGCTGTGAAATCCTTTTACACATTTTCTTATCCCTAATTATTTCATGATCATTATTAACATATCCGTCGTATTCTGTAGCCATTGATGTTTGAGATACACTGTTTTTGTTTAAAAAAAATATTATATTAAAATGAGAATTTAAGAAAAGAGAATTTAATCTAAGTAAAAATATCTTTGCTGTTGAAAAATATCTATCCTACAGATTTTTTTGACCTCGGAATAATATATGTCAAACCGACTATAGTATACAAGTTTTAGGCAGTTAGACAGAGTGGATCCTTTTTTTTATTGTTGGGAAATGCATTTACGCATACCACCTGTAGACATACAGGTGCTTATGTGAGACTCACCGGCTAGAAAAGCCAATACCACCCACTAAAACCCAACAAAACAGCCCCCGTCTTAAATGGGCCCCGACGGCAGGTCTGTCGCAGCAGACCACAACAACCATGGGGTTGCTCCACAGTCCACTCTGCTATCAGGGAAGTACCAGGAGCAACCCCCATGCAAACCGCCCACCGAAGTGGACCACCTCCCTGTGCGTTTCTTGGCTTCGCGCTCGGCTGTATTGCCGGGCACTACTAAGCCCTCCTACAACAACAAGGTGAACGCACGTTGGTAGGGAGACAGAGTGGATCCTGTAGAAACTTAAAAATTGTTCCTATTATAAATATTTTTTTGAACGTTGACTCAATGAAAAATTTAATCAAGCAAGCTTTGAAGCCAATAACAATATTTTTTAATTTTTTTGAAATATTTTTCGTACTCTATAAATATATTTTCATGGAGACTGCATTTTAGTCATGCCAATTATATCAATAGAAAAAAATATACATGCAATAGTTTATGAAGAACGAAAGAATTTTCGGAAGTTTTTAGAGGAAACTATATCAATCTTCAGAATAACGAGTTGTTCATATTTAATCAATCACGATTTACGATATATTAAATTAGATTTATGAATCGTCAATTAAGCGCTCGTTAGGCTGACATTATTACCACGGTAATGTTACATATTTTATGCAAAACATTACCGTGTTATTAAAATTTTAGTTAGCCCTCATACGAGTAACTTTTTTTACCAATAACATTGAATACTTCGCTTAACTTATACGCAATGCATATGAAAAAACGATAAAAATTCTCTAAAAAGTACGACATATCAACATAATGGTTTAACTGTATAGAATATTCCCAAATTAGTCGATAATGTTTTGAAATGTTGATAAATGTTCTATAATATTATAAGTAGTAGAATCCTCTAAAAAGTAAATGTTTATATACCTAAATATCCCCGCTAAGTCTATGTAAAAGTTCATTTCTATTTTATCTCTTGTTGTCTGTACCTACATATATCACTGTGTTGGCATCTGATGGCGGTAGTGGGTGGAGACCTGTCGTTGCGAAGCGTGGTGGGGGCCATGCTACGCGACGAGAGGTCCTGGTCGGCGATGGTCTCCTTCAGCGAGGCCGTCATCTCACTGAAGGAGACGGCGGAGAGGGAACGCGAGGCTAACGCCTTAGCAGACCCTCTTCGTCGCCGTCGGCTGGGGGAGAGGAGGCGCCGGTATGCGCATCTTCTCCCGCCACCCTAGAGGAGCTACTGCGGGGGGGTCTCTCGTTGACTCCCCTGCACGTCATCGGGGCGGTCGGAATGCCCTGTGAATCGAGGGCATTCCGGTTTAGGCGAGGCAGGCCCGCGGGGTACGGGCTGTCCGCAGGGGTGTTGCAGTGAATGCGCAAGCGATCCTGCACACCCCATTGCACTGCGGCGACGGGTTCCGCTGTGGGTTTTAGTGAGTAGGAGTCTCACAGTACCCTACCCATTGACGGCCGGTAGGGTCCCCATGATGGGTTTCCCCAGCGATAACAAAAAAAAAAAAAAAAAAATCACTGTGTTGGCATAAACCTGTCATTAATCATATGGGGATGACACTGGCTCCTGCAATACAGTTTTTAACGAGCGCAGGGGCTAGGGAATTCTTAATCACCTGTGTATGTAAAAATTATGTCAATAAAGAATTTATTATTATTATTTTTTTATAGAAATTTCTCTTCTCTTCTTTCTTTCAAAAGAAGGTATTACTCTATCACACGGGCCTTAACCAAGTGTGATAGAATTAAAAATTAGTGTGACTGGAAGTACTAGAAATGGTTGAGGATGCTAGAAATTTTCGTGTAATTCTACAAGTGTTTAGTATAGCGGCTTTTTGTAGACTATAAATTACATATACTGGAATATTTATTATTTTTAGACTTTTTTCTAATGATTTAGGTACTACACCAGTGGATGACACTACAATTGGTAAAATATGCACAGTTTGGGCTTGCCATTGAGTCTTAATTTCTATAGCAAGGTCTTGATATTTCGACAGTTTCTCAGACACAGTGGCCTGAATATTGTGTGTGTTAGGAATGGCTATATCAATTAGGAATATTGTTTTATTTTTCTTGTCATAAAAGGTAATGTCTGGTCTATTATAATGTACTGTCTTATCTGTTAATATAGTCCTATCCCAGTAAAGCTTATAGTCACTGGTTTCTAAAACGCAATCGGGTTTATATTTATAATATGGCTGTTTCTTTTTTATAAATTTGTAATCATATGCGAGGTGTTGGTGAATTATTGACGCTAATTGATCATGCCTATGCTTATAATCAGTTTGTACAATACTTCTGCAAGCTCCGGTTATGTGTTGGATTGTTTCGGGGGCACTATTACAATGTCTACATAAATCGTTTATCTGTTTGGAATCTTTTAATATATATTTTGTGTAGTTACGAGTGGCAATCACTTCATCCTGTATCGCAAGCATGTAGCCTTGGGTCTCAGGAAACAATTCGCCCCTCCTAAGCCATTCGTTTGACCTATCTTTATCAACATGTTGCTGCTCCAGGTGAGATTGGTGTCTCCCGTGTAAGGATTTTCCAGCCCATGACGCTATTTTTTGAGTCACATCTGTAATTTTTTCATTAATCTGCTTTTGTTTTTCATGTAAATTGAGTGGTGTGAGTTTTTTGTCTGTTTCTATTGCATGTTTGTGGATTGCTGAATGTTCCGACTTAGAATAAAAATAATTTTTAAAAGTAGTTATTAATTTATTATGAAGATGTCTATAAATCCTCTCCCTCCTTCGTGACGTGGTAATGTGATCCTTTGAATGCATGATTTTGGGTGATGTTTTCTGAATTTAGTAAGTAGTGTATGTATCATTCGTTGTAGTTTTTGTAAATCCGTTTGTGACCAGTTTATTATACCAAAAGAGTACGTGAGTATGGGAATGGTAAAGGTGTTAACAGCTTTAGTAATATTTTTTGAATTTAAGTGGCTTTTTAAAATGAGTTTTACACGGTATCTGAATTTATTAATTAGATCCATCTTTGTTTGTTTTACCTTGATTTGTGTAGATTGATGGAATCCTAAATATTTATAAATGCTCAATTCATCCATTGGTTCAATCGTTTCACCAGTTTCGAGTATAGATGCGTTATTATCTATTACACCTTTATTGACTGAAAGAATTTTGCATTTGTCGATGCCAAACTGCATATGGATATCCGTAGAGAACTCCTGTGTGATGTCCGCTAACTTAAATAACCCCTTTCTATTAGAAGCATACAGTTTAATGTCGTCTAAATACATTAAATGTGAAATAGTACTATCGATCTGCGCACGGTTATGTTTGTATCCAATGTTACTTTTATTTAACAATTCTG